ATTTATTTATATTTATCAAAAATAATAATTATTTTGATTTAAAAATTCCTGATGAACCTCAGTTGTTAAAAATAAAAAATTAAATAATTAAAATTTTATATAAATATAAATAAATAAATCCTCACTTTTATATCAAATTTATTTATAAGAAAATATATCATTTTATCTTATAAAAGAGGTTTTTTAAGTGCGTGAAAGCTCATTGATGACATCTTAACTGTAAATAACGAAGAAAAAATTTCTTTCTTGACCATTTACCTTCGTTGGTGGCTGCCCCACTGTAGTTGTGGATCTGTCCCTGTTAGCAGCGCCAATAATGGCTTTTCAATATGAACAGTCCGTAGAGATATGCAAGAAACAGCAAGGTTTCTTCGGCTCCTACTACACCGCAACGCTTCTCGCCGCCGTCGGTAGAAACCGCTATCTGATACGCTACGAAACCCGTTTCTCTGAAGACAAAACGCGACTCCTGGTCGAACCCGTTGACGCCGATGAGGTCAGGCCTTTCCCACCCCCTGTTCCTTACACCAATTTCTTCGTCTCCGATAGGGTTGATGCCTATATCGATGACGCTTGGTGGGTCGGAAGTGTCACAACCAAAGTCGATCCTAACTACAGAGTGAGGCTCGATTCCACCGGGGATGAGGTGCATTGTGCTTTCTACAGACTCAGGCTCCATCTTGAATTTCAAGACGGTCAATGGTTGTATATCAAAGATGGGTATGTATGCCCTTCTTGTTCTTGAATTAAAATTGCTTCTTTCGCAATTGGGTGTTGAAATTAATTGACATTAATCTTGGGTATTGCCTATTTGATTCCTTTCCAATTCCAACCCAACAGATCAAAACTGGAGCTTTAGGGATTTAAACCTGGAGTTTCTTAAAAAACGTCTCAGTAGTTAAGAAGTACGAGCTTGAATTCCTTTATTGAAATCCTTAATTTTGAAACTTGAGATAAAAGAAACCTGGATAAAACCATAGATGGGTTGAACTCTTTCTTGGAAACAAAAGCAAACAAAAGGAAGGGTGTTCAGAAATTGTTACATTAAAATGGAATTTTATGCTATATATTACGGTCTTATTCATAGGCTTATGGCGATGGATGCATGCTTCAAATGCTTGTTTGATGTAAAATTACTCTGGTTCTAGTAACAACTAGAATGGACAGTCCAATTTAACTCTGTAAATTCAATTTTTCAGGCCTCAAACTGATAGTCACCAAGGGAATGCTGGAGAACAAGGAGAGCAGCCACCAAATGATGGCTACCAAACAAACGCAGATTGGCAGCAAAGCTAGTTTTGGAATTCCACGCTTGCCATAGTGGTAGCAGATCTATCTATATAGAGGACATTAGTACATTCTCGGTTCATATTGTTTCCCATTGCATAAATTTCAGTGGTCTGGAAGTTTATTTGAAATAGCATTTGATGATTATCAATGGGAAGGTATAATTATTCAAGTTTGTTAATTCTGATCCGATGGTACAGTGTTTTGCATTCTTATGAATTGTATTCATTTTGGTACATGGTTTTTATGAATTGTATATACTTACGCTTCTCCTTGCTGTTGCCTGCTGGTTTAGCTTCGTTCCTCTTGGTCAAATTTGAACTGAATATCTAGATGAATATTGGGGAAGACTATTAATGGTCAATAGTTAATGTGAAACATCTTGTATACGTTTGTGTGTTTACACTGGCTTCCATCTTATTTTCCCCTTTGTGTCTTTTGTTGAAATAGTTTATCTAGTTTATGAAACTGATAAAATTACTGGGAAATCGCCAAATCGAATACGAAATTGCCATAGAGCATGATTTTCAGCTGAAGTTATCTGACAAACAGACTTGAGCACAAGGGGCCGCTTAATTCTCAAGTTCTTGTATCATCTTCAAAGCACCTTTACCATATTAAATCTTCCATGCACAAATTGCTTGTATGTCGTCTGCATCGACCTTGCTCTGAACAATCTCTGTAGGTCTTATCTCTCTGCCATCTTCTTCATCCAGGCCGTTGATCAACTTGCCCCGATCTAGTTTCGATTGACTTAATTTGAGCCTTATCCATGATTGATTTTTACCTAGTAACATAGCACAGGGAATCCCCATGATGATCAGTTGATCTGATCATTGATACATATCTCTGGGGATTCTGACCAGCATGATTTGAGTAATCACTCATCTTCATGCTGCGCTGCAGTATGGAAAAAGGCAAAAAGTCCCCTTTGACATTTCTATTTCACCTAAATCATGCAGAATTCTATTTACTTAAGGATAATTAATATAGGAATTTAAAAGATTTAAGTAATGAGGACCAGCCTGTATTGTAGACATACACCACTAATTAGTCTGTATAATCATAGTTTCTCTAATAATTTTTTCAAATGATTTCAAACAAGAGATGATCAAGAAATGAAGATCAAAAAGGTTCTCCACCTGAGCTGCTCCTCCGCCGCTTTCCAGGAAAAGTTTAACGGAACCCACCGTAGGCCGCCGTGGCCAGTTGCCAGTCCTCCAGAACCACCCCATCCAACTCAAACTGGTGCACCCCACCGGACTCATCATACAAGCACCCTTCAGGGAACGTACCAAGGTTGCGGCCAGGTGGTTTGGTTTTCCGACGGCCAGCCCCCACTGGAACATTCCGTAGGGCCCCACCAGCCGTCCAGTACCTCTGGCAGCCCTTGCAGAAATGCCTAGGCTGGTTAACGTTGTAGTTATTGAAGTAACAAAACTTAGTTTCCATGCTCTTGCATCTAGGACAAGGTATGATCTTGTCGGGCCGCTTCTCCGCCGTCTGCTCTGCCTTGTTCTTTTCTTCCTTTACTTGCCTTGCATGCAAAGTAATCGTCTTCCCAAATAGCTTAATCCCCTCTCCTTCGGCGGCCGCCATGACCATGGAAGAGAAACAGAGAGATCAAAAACAGAGGATTTTGTTTGTTGGGGGTTGAAAAACAGAGGATTGAGAGGGGGTAATATATAATTGGAGAAGACTAAAAGTGCTTAAAACTGCATGTAAATTCCAGGCAGGTGGAGTGGAAAAGCAGAGGATGAGCTTTTTGTCTACATCATTACTCCACGTCATCAACATCCAATGTTAAAAAAGTCTAGAAAGTGGAGCCCGATCCAGGTGGGTCTTGTACAAAGCGTCAAAAGTGAAGGGAGAAAATTTTGGGAGATAAAAGTCTATTCTTTGTTGGTATCTGAAAATTATATTAAATTAATTTAAAATTAAATAATATTAAATTTATAAAAAAAATCTTGTAAATGTATGTCTTTGAAGTGGAGCCCGATCCAGGTGGGTCTTGTACAAA